TTAAAATTATTATCGTTATTATTAAAATTTAATTCTCGCTCATTTTTATTAAAATTGTTCACCCTTTTGTGTTCAATTTAATTGTTCTTTCGTGATTTTTATTTACATATGCTCATTTGTGTAGCTTAAAATGTTTTGCGTTTTGCCTTTTACACTCTTCTGTGTTATTTATTTATTTATTTTGCTTTTGCGCACTTTTGTGTTTCTCCGTTGCTTTTGTTTCGCTACAATCACTGCTTTGTTTACCAGTTTACCTGTAATAGCAACAATTCTACATTTTCGAATTCTTCTTTGCACTCCATTTGTTACTTTGCACCTGCCCGAGCCATTACAATAACCWACTCGTACYCAWACATTAAGCGAGTGTATGTGTGTGCGTGTATTTGTRGCTTTTACATGACACTTCTAAATATTTTATTATTTTGAAATTTTCTTCTTTCRCCGAGCATCATGAACACTTTCGTGTCCGAAAGCTCCTGTGACCTCCTTCTGCCGCAGTGCCGACGATGACGACGCCACCGTCGACGAAGCACTCAGAACGCCACGCAATGAAATACCTACAGCAATGCGTTGCTTCGCGCACACCGCAATGCAGCGAAGGAGCAAGGAGGAGGTGGCACGGAAGAGCAGAAGACACACCACCTTCTAGCTCTTATACCGAATTTTCGTGGCGACGTAAGCGACGTCAACGCACACGCAATCGCCGTCATAAATGCAATTGTGGTCGGCGACGTCGGCGTTGACGCCACTTGTTCGTCTGTGCGTTCGTGTGCTCGCTCGCCAGTGGGTCGCTGTTTATTGCGTTGCGCCAGAAGACTGCACTTTCATATYTATAAATGAATAGCAACAACAACAACACGGCAACTTATTGGCAGCAACAGTGGCGGCGTAATAACAACAACAACAGCAAAGTCAGCAACGATAATAATAATAACAAAAACGAGAAGAATGAAGGCGAAAGACGCAACAAATACAGCAAGCGCGAGTGCAATGCGTTCGCTTTTATTAGCGTTGCTGTTGTTGTTKTTGTTCTTGCAGTTGCGTTATTTATAAAAATATCAGCGGGCAGTGGCGCAGACCATCGGAGCGACACGGCCAGCCACTGCGCGACCGGCCCGACCCGCCTACCACACGGCCGGGCGAGCATTTTTGGCCGCGCGTTTGAGCAACAGTGCGTCTAAATGCTAAACGGTGTGGCGACCCCGTTTTTGCCCAACAGCAACACACATACACGCGCACRCATACAACGGCGGCTTGCTTAGCGTGTGTATGTGTTTAAGGTGCTGTTGACTGCTTTCGCCCGTCGAGTTTGAGTTTTTGTTTTGGGCCGCGGCTATTGCTGCGGATGGCTGTGGCCTGTGCCAACAATTCATGCATGATTTGCTTGCTGCTACTTGCTGCTTGAATTGATTTTATTGTAGTTGACTGTGAATATAATTGTTTTTGCATTCCTCACACGTACAGCCATGCAAACATATGCGCAGCTACAGAAAGATACGTGCGCGCGTGTGCTTGTCTGCAATGGGGAATGCACATCCCCATATGCAGGCATACGGCGATTTTCTCGAGCAGAAACGGCTGTCGACGTTTTGTGCTGCTGGCACTGCGGCTGTGCTTCTTCTATCGCCTATTCATCCACCTATACCCACACTTGTGCTCCCCCTCATTCACCCTTCTGTCGCTAAATGTGATAACTTTACGACCACTGCAGTTATTCGCTGTTGTTGCTGTTGTTGTTATCGTGTTGCGAGCCCCCAAAACATATTTGCCCCAAACGCGTTTGGCAACGTTCKCCTCGCGGTCGATTATAACGCATTTAACTGTAAATAGTTGAGTTGGAAAGTTAGGAAATTAGTTTCACTTGCGTTTTCATATTTTAGAAATTTCAGATAATATATTTATTTTCTTTTATTATTTTTTCTTGCTCTCACTTTGTTTCACTTCACTTCACTTAGYCTCTTGTTCTGGTTGGTCTTGTTCTTCTTCGTGTGCTACAGCTACTTATTTGATCGACTTCGTTTTCACCGAATTACCTATGAGGCACTTCTAAATGCTCGCTGGCCAGAACTCTATTTTCTATAATTCACAAATCTTCACATGCACTGCGGATCGTGGTGGGAATTCTTTAGAATATCTTAACTAACTGCTGTTGCGTTATTTTCCATCGTTTCATTTTTGCTCTTCTCTCGTCACTTATGTCGTATTTTCTTGATTTCTTATGTATTTTTGTGTGTCTTATGCTTTGGAATTCACAGAACACTTCGTTTTTCGATGGGGTACTGAACTAGCACTGCGTCAAAGTGACAGTTCAGTGCTGGCGCCATTGCCGACCGCGCACTGCTTTGTCGACATTATTTGCTTTATCATTGGCTTTATGGCTTTTGCTCCAACTGTTATGGCGCTGTCAGTGGGGAATSCGTTATGCGCTTCCGTTTGGCCATTGAACTGTGTGTGCGCTGAAGTTGGCTGAGTGTGTAAACGGTTGTTGTCGCGGCTAATTGCCCAGCGAAATGCAATGTAGCGATTGTGTAATTTGCTATATTTTTGGATATTTTTTTTTTTTGGAAATTTTTTATAATTAGCATTTGTGTACATAATTTCGAAAGTAGGAGGGGTAAAATGTTAATTAGGTGTATTTCAGAGTAGATAGAGATTTTTTCCGTTTAATTTCAAACAACAAAGTGGAGTAAGAGTGATGTTTTACTTAGTTTTGGTATTACTGTTTTTATATTAGAATTCTGCAGTGGTTGTATTTTGAAATTATTTCAACTATAGATAACTAAAGGCGACTGCTTGTAACTACATTCATATTTTTCTCATCGAATTCGTAAAAAATCAAAGATGTGTTTAATTTTTCTGCCAATTTCTTTACTTTCTTTACAAATCATATAAAATCATAATTAACTTAAATTAATATTTTTGGATTTATATGCAATATTGATTTTATTTTTCACTTAAATGGCTTAAATAATAAATGTATAGCAATTATATAGCATATAATTATGTTTGAATGTACATTAGAGCGGGTCGACTTTTTACTATAAAATCGAGTATGCGGGAAATGTTCTAMGAATGATCCTRAACAACTTTGCTTAAGAGACTACGGGTCTACCGGGCTTAGTTTCGTAAAGCCACTTTTAAGGCGAACTTAAAGCAATTTGAGTAATCGTTTGTATGGAGATATGGAGATTGTATTAAGGTGTGTGAGTTTGCGGTTACCTACTTGTTAAACTTCATAGAGATATCTCAAAAATGGTCGAACAACCTTTTGTAAATTCCAAAAATTTTGACGTAAAAATCGCTGGAACCGGTTTTAGATCTATAATCTCTGAAGTGGAGATATTCAGAATGATCAGTAGAAMATTTTCCGCWGGCGYGATTATTTCGTGTTTTGGCTCCCTTTAAATCGACCCACTCTCATATATGTTCATACATTTATATATGACACGTATATTTTAAACTAAGCCTTAATGGTATTTTCGGCCTTCTAGTTATAAATGCACAATGTGTTCACATATGTATATATACACACACAAACATCAAAAAGCTGTTCACCGATGCCACTTARGTCCTTAAATTAGTCTCTATTGCCTATGATCTATGTGGTCACTCAAATTATATGCCTATTTACAAATGTCTATATAAATATATTTGTATACATACATGTGTAGCTCAATGCATACGCTCGCTGGTTTAACTACGAATATGCTGACCGCAGACGACATATATATGAATATATAGTATATTAATTATGTTTCCTTCTGCCGCCTGTCATTTATTACATTTTCTCAATTAATGCCAGCATGAAGTATTAATCGATATGACTATTGTTGGAAGTATTTAATAACAGTAATAGGACATAGTTTTATCGTTGGAAAATTAAAAGAATATAATTTACCGAAAAATTATTTATTGAACAATAACAAAAATGCGAAATTATAAAAAATTTATACCTAAAAATAAATATATGTGATATAAATAAATACTTAAAAATTATTGTTATCTTTTATTCTTTTGTTTATATTAATTTATGTCGCTTGCTTTTTGTCTCCCCAGTATTTGTATTGCTCYTGTGTATAGTAACGTGCTACGGTGAGTATACGTAATATTCGCTGYATGCCAAGGACATTACTGTTCACTCATACGCCATGCTGCACTCTTCTTCCTCAAAGTAATAAAAGTAGTTTCTTTAACTGAAATGCTGTATACTAGATAACAATTTCACTTTGAGAATTCGATTCTACAGTTTTTGAGATAACTAATTGCACTGATTAACAAAATTTTATCTGTTTTTGCCACATGAAAACTCCTAACAAGTTTTGAATGCACTTGGGCCACTAAACAACAATATGAGAATGAAAAAAAATTACTCGTCAAAYTTTCTTGCGGCATCAAAACATTTAATTACAATAAAATAATAATAAAACAGTACAAATAATAATAAAAAGTACAAATACAGTTACATAAAGTATTTTTAAATTAAATATAAAAAAATTACTTATGATTTTAATTAATATTTGGCTTCTGGAAGGTCCTTTTTAAGTCCTCAGTAATAAGCTTCTAGCATTCCTGTTCCATTTCCCTCTATACCGCTTCTATGTTAAGGAATTGTCTTCTCGCGCTGTTTGTTACTCACAGTACCCAAATCTTCCGTAAATAATCCATATAAAAGTATAGCATGAATATTTTGAAGAACTTATTATTATCCAACCTAATATTCAGAGTCAAAATTGATTGTTCCTCAGCCTGTAAATGAAATAATTCGCCTAATAAATACAAAATTTTAAAATTTGCTCACCAATGGTCTCGTTTGGAAAGAATGTTGTGTTGTTGAACCTAATAATCTTGAAAAAGTAGAATTTTTGAAATATTTATGGAATTTAAAACAAAGCTAGTGCTTCTCTGATCTAATGGTCGCGCTTTCAAATATATGATAGCTATGACCTCTCTTTTTTCAATTTTGGTTGCAAATGTAATTTGCCTACTCTTTAACAAAATTCAGTGTTTTCTCATAAATATTTATAAAGAAATCAGAGAAATTTAACCAAATAAAGTGTTATTAAAAAAAGTCAGGGAGTTCTAGTAGGGCATTTATATAATTTATGGATACTCATGGAAAGCTAAAGATGATAAAAACTGCTTTACTGTCAACATAATATGTATGTATATATATATATATACTAGGTAGCATATATATATATACTTGTATTATGAGGAGACGCGGGTGGATATACTCCACCTAATTGCTTTATACTTTCTGCAAACTTAATTTCTTTATAGCTATTTGCTATTTTTGGCATTCCATTTAACATAATTTCAACAACAACACGCGCCGAGGACCATCAGAAGTACCGATATTTTTTTCGTTTTTGTGCAATAAAGAAGCRTCAAATCATATCATTATTGCCGCCTAATTGTTATCAGCGTCCGTTGTCTGACTTTGATTGCTGCGTTGTTGCGTTGTCAATGTGATATACTTAAATTTATTGTTATTGTTGTATAAAACTATTACTTTTCTTGTATTGCGAAGCGAATTTGCCACTCAGTTTGTTTAGTGAAGTTGAAGTGTGTTGATTTTGCCACCAAAAGTCGCCTGTGATTTATAAGAATTACTGAAAGTAATTAAATATTACAGTTTTACCTATATACAGTGTTATATACTACAGAAAACATTCACATATACACATATACTTTGAAGTAACATAAAAGGTAATGAAGAAGATGTAATTGCTTTGTAAAAAATGTTGTCCAAGAAATGTCTGAGTCTTGTGATAAGAAACATCGTTTGCTTGTGTTGTTAACATATTTAATATTTTTGATTAAATTTATGAACTCCAGGAATCAATTTTATTTTATCTACTTTGATATACTTATGTATATATTAGTTAAAATTAATTGAAAATCTTATCTCTTGATAAACCAATTATTAATTCATTTAGTTTATAAGATAATTCAATTCTAATTTTACTTTAAGATCTATTAAGTGGCACTGTTGTTTTTGTGCTGCAATGTCGATGGTTCCCTCAGCATTACCTAATTCGGACAGTTTTTAAATAAATCTTTTAATTATGAAGTTTCAATGTGCATTATTAAGAGCCTGAAAAATGTAGACCATGATTTGAAGCTAATTATATCTTTCTAAGCAATTTTTTCATATATCAATAAATTATACCTTCAAAAATAACATACTAAAATTTTTTAATTTTATCTCAAATGGTTGTGATTTACAGCCAATAAAGTGTAGCTACTAAGTTCAATCAGCTTTGTCAGTTTACTTTCAAAGTCGCTTCTCCCGAAACTACATTTTTCAAACTTGCATGAGTATTTATTCGGAGACATACGACCCGTTTACTATTTGATTTGCGGGCATGTTCTGAACATAGTTCTCCATRCAATGCCCAGCCACTTCTTAAACTAATAAAAATCGAATTTTAGCAACCCAAAAACGACCAACATTTGTAATATTAAACTTTATGTTGTAAATGCCCCAATTTTGTAATTTTTTCTTTTTGTTTCTAATGTATTGCCCTAAATGCTGAAGTTGATGTGGGTAAAAGTTTTGGAGATACAGYCTTGAAAAGTTACGTCCTCTAGTTCAGCTATATTTTCACTTAAAAAAGCATTTAACTTTTTCTCGAAATTGAGTTTTCAAAGTCGGTTGTCAAGATTTCTCTCGGACTATTCAACCGATCTTAATGAAATTTTACATATGTCAGCGAGATGTAACTYGCTAGGTCTTGAAATTAAGATTTTTTTTGTTCAATTACAACCTTTTTAAAAAAAAAAATAAAAAATAAAAAATATACGTAGACAAATTTTCAACTTTTGTAAAAAAGGTCTTCGAAATAATTTTTGAAAAAATTTTAATTTCTYTATTTTTATTTCGTCCAATGCGAAGTTTGGTGTTTCAATTTTTGTACCAAGCTTGCCACAGAAGGAAACTTAGCTGGCCCTATAATATGATCAGCAKGATGAATTGAGTCGAGTTAGCCATGTTCGTCTGCATGTCCGTCCATCCGTCCACGGGAACAATGTAGTGCCTCAGTTTATGAGACATCGAACTGAAAACTGCTAAAGTCTTTTCTCCCAATATTATAAATATATTCGGTATGAGTAGGCAATTGAGAAGCAAAGTCCTCTCTCGACAAACAAAAACCAACCTCAACTAAGTCACTCATAATTACCGTCCTGCTATATGGTGCAGAGGCTTGGACGATGTCAACAACTGATGAGTCGTCGTTGCGAGTTTTCGAGAGATCCTTTGCGCGTTGGCCTCGGCGAATATCGCATTCGATGATACGACGACATTGATATAGTTCAGCGAATTAAAAGACAGTGGCTACGCTGGTTAGATCACGTTGTTCGAACGGATGAAAACACTCCAGCTCTGTATCTATTCGACGCAGTATCCGTCGGGGAAGCAGAGGGATAATCTSGAAAAATATGTTTGTTTATTCATACCAAAGATATTGCATTTTTTGTCCACCAACCGCTCTTAAAAMGATGGTTGGGCCATATTATTATTTAAACAAAGGACCATGAAAAAATATGTATAATTTAGCACGAACATTGTTCTTTGACTTCACAAAATTTTATCGATTTATCTCTAGCAGTTTGTGAGAAAATAGTTTTGCAATTTTACCGTGCCCTAAATTTCAGCCTTCAATAACTTTAACAAAAAAAAAAAAAAAAAAAAAAAAAAAAAAAAAAAAAAAAAAAAAAAAAAAAAAAAAAAAAAAAAAAAAAAAAAAATAAAAAAAAAAAAATTAGAATTTTGACAACATATCTACATATATCACGGGTATGCGTCTGGGTCAAACCACGTCAAGCAAAATCACCGATTATGAAAATTAGCAGTCCATTAGGGAGGGGAACAGACGAATAGATATGTTGTCAAAATTCTAATTTTTTTTTGTATAAAGCAGAATTTTCAGTAAYAGAGTTCTCCATGGATTATTTTGGATTGTGAGAGTCTTTTCTTTGGTAGGATACTTTATATGTATAATGACTATTTTCTCTTTGCGAACTTTATCACCAATACCAATAATACCTGTTTCTTTTCGAGAATAGTTCACGAACTCCTATCTTATTTACATAAAAACGCGTTCCTCTCGTATTGTGTCGCAAGTAGTCCTGCTTTACGCACTGCCTCACCTCATACTTTCAAACTTTTGAAGCAACTCCTTTCAGTTATCAAACCCTTTAATTCCAATCGAGCTCACATACATTGACGATTTCACAGTTATCAAATTGCGAACAATGTTGCATTGCACCCACCAAAAGCATGAAAACGAACAACAACAACAACTGCAAGGTAGCAAAAAGCATTTAATCCTTACAATCACTTAGTGAAAGCAAATCAAGTTGCATTGACGTTTCGACGTTGCTGATTACTTGAGAAACGAACGCTTTCATTGCACAGCAACAAATGCTCAGCTCGAAGATTGACTGAGTTTACGTGGAACGTCCGGTAGCTGCTACTTTTGCAGGCAATTTCCACGTTGCGAACACCGTTGTTGGCAGGCAGTGATTGTTGTTGGCATAACAATGCCAGTCTTCTCGTTCGACTACCTGTAATTTCCGAAGAGTAGCACTTGTAGACGCCACTTTAACTGTCGAGGATAATGCGAACGTCAAGAAGCTCAATGCTTGGCACCCGTTGGCGTTGTGGCGCTGCTCCATTTTTTTAATAATAGTACTAATATTTGTAGAAATGTTTTTGCTTTCAATTATTATAAAAAATTAATTGAAAAATGCCAGCAAAGCTTTGCAGCTTTTACGCAATTAAATTCAATTAGTATTTGATTTGATTACAGAAACACATACTTAGAAGCATGTACTAGGTCTTAATATGAAATTTCTTAATTATAAAGGCATTTATTTTAGCATTTCGATTTCATTATAAAAAGCTTAAATCCGCTTATTGCTAAATGATCCACTTAAATTTAAAAAACAATCGCAATTTGTATTTTTGCTTTTATTTTGCAGCTTACAACAACCGAAATGTTCACCAAGGCTGCCATACCATCTGCATTATCCTTGCGGCTTTTATTTGCAGTTGCTCTACTCATATTCGTCGCATCGCCAGCCACACCAGCTAAAATACCGACAGCAAAGAATGGCGGGGCTACGCTGCGAGGCCAAGCCGTCATTGATGCGGTGCCCCTGGCAGGTAAGCGCCGCTGATTCGATGGCATTCAGTTAATCCAATTAAGTGATTTAGAAGTGATTTTGAAATGATTTATTGCGATTAAATATTTATGGAATTTGTTTTGTATGGAGTCAACGATTGCATGGTGAGAGAAAGTTTTTGAGAGAGCGTTTGTGTGTGTTGAGAAAAAATTYGTGAGGAATTAATGAAATATTTGGAATATTACCGTTTCAATTAATTAAATATTGGTTTGCTCTAATTAATTTTCTCCACTTTTGTAAGGAAAAATTTAGGCATTAGAAATAAAAAAACTCTGCAATAATTGATTTCATTGAGCAGAAATTATTTGTATTGCCACCCACCGAGAAGCAGAAGAAAACGCATTAAATTTGTGCTGTGAAATCAGTGAAGCGTTAAATCTCTTAGGTATGGAGCTTACTTCAGAGACATTACATTTTATCACCGATGGCTTTATAAGAGATCGGATCAAAATTGGACAATGGACTCGGCACCGCTCTTATTATAATATACTCTCATATAATTTGCCACCTTATGACTAAAAGTTGAACCAAAACTTTTAGGTACCGAATATGCGGAATTTAGAGGAAGTTTTATCCTAATAATAATATGTCTGTGCCTCAGAAAAAGGCTGAATCGGTTCGATAGTTCCTTAAGCCCTCATATACCYAATATAAAGATTTTCGAAATTCCGAGTGAATTTATAGCGCAAATAGCGGCCAATGTGTTAGTTGTCTTGATTAAATTGATAGAGCTTGTTTTCCTCATAAAAGTGTAGCTTAGTGTCTAAAATATATGCAATTGGGRGAAAACTTGWCCTATCCCCCATATAACTAACATCAGGATTTTCGAACAAACGACTGACTTTATTTTATATAATTGTGTGTTGATGAAGCCTTGGAAACATTTTATTACCAAATAATTAATCGTTTTAATTTGGCTTMTACGTTTTATGAGAATATTTGATATCAAGGTTAAGTTAGGTTGGGTTAGAWGTCTGGTCCCTTAGCAAGGCTCATCTCATTTAGACTGTAGAATTTCTGTAGTTGAACATCACCTATATATTGGCAAAAGCGCCCKGAACCTAACAAAATCTGCTAAGATTATATATTATATATTATTATATATTCCTATTTCCACCATTTTACCGTCTTGTTTAAAAGTATTAGATCCTAAATGTTTTTGCCAAACACCTAATGTAGCTGGGATTCGGTGAGATGTATAATTACTTGAATACCGATGGGAGTTTCCAGCTGTAACTTCTACAACCATTTAAAGGTAGCCTTGATAATAGCGGTGAGTTCCGTAGACCTTTACCTTGGGTCAGAAGAACCTTGCGATTGCACTACTGMTGGTATTTGATCAAAACTTGCTGGGCTCACAAAGGCACTCCTACACGTTCCCATTTCGCAGTTATTGAGACTAAAAAACCAAATTATTAAGACCCAAACTAGTTTAATCATACAATATCCCAATGCTAGAGATAAGGAGTTTAGACATACTTTCACTATTCTCGAGCTGTCTGCATGAATTCAAGGCTAATTTTGCTGCCCTACCATAGGAGTGGATAGCCGGACTGCGGAGGAGTAGATGTACTGCTACATTTGTGTCACGCAGGTTCACTTCGAAGACACTTCGAAGACATTCTTAAAGTAATTTGAAAAAATTGTGCSGAGTTGACAGTCMTTAACTGGATAATAATCTAGGTCCATTCCAGCCACTTAGGCCCGACTGTCGTGAGAACGCAGCCCTTCTTTGCCTCGGTTTTCAGTTTCACAGTGAATACGTGTTTGTCTGATTTCCTAGAAGTCCTGTCGAAATAAGTGTGTGTGCTTTAAAGAAGCCGCTTCCATCGTTCAAAGAATTTATAATGAGGTCTCAAATAATATATCAATCAACAAAACATGAATAATTGATGACCGTTAGCTTCTCTAACTATTCTCCTTCTTACTTTTCTTTGTGAGAAAAAAAAAAAAATGAAATATTACAACAATACCCAAAGAAACAAAATTGTTAAAGCTTAGCAGAATCTAAACTAAAATAATAAAATAAATGGAACTGTAGATGTCTATCAACGTCGAAGTTAACATCGAAGCAGAAATTGTGTCTATCAAACACGCTAAAAGTGTCTCACGGGAGCGTAGCTCTCTGAAGCTGAARAATTTCCAGCTCTTGGCTTGCAGTTATGTCCCGTTGTCTTTTCTAACGGACTTAATTCTGCATACAGTAAAAAACAACAATTACCAACACAATTGAGCAATTGCATTCTCCAGTCTCCWAAAAAGAATATGMCACGCTCTTCAATGTACTTAGTAACTGAAAAATTCTTCGCTGAGATACAAATATTTTATTTTCGCTTGAATRGCAACTGCTTTTGCATAAATTTGGAGTGTCGACACTTCAGCGCGCACGGCGAGCAGTTTCCTCACCACTTGTAGCAAGTTTTTAAGTCAGTTAACGGTTCCTCAACAATTTGAGAGCGTAATAAAATCAACTTGAGCGGCGAAAATTATGCGCGGCGCTTTGCTGCTGAAAATGTACCGTTAATGTTAAAGTCATTAGTGAAAACTGAATTGTCACATCAAGCCGTTATGCGAGCTGTCACACTAGAGATGSCATTGTGCGTATCGCAGCCACTACAGCAGCGCTAACACTAGACAAGCGAAGACGCTAACGATGCGCGATCTTGCAGCGCCTTCCCTGCGCTCGTGCACATTTCAACTCAATCACTGCGACAACAACAACAAACTTAGCGCTTGCCAACACTTTCGCTCGCACCGCTGCATTCGCAGCTTTTACGGCTGTTTGATGGCGTGCCGCACACACACACACACACACACATGCATGTTTGTTGTTGCTAACAAAGTTATAACGGCTGCAGGAAGCGCGTACTTCTTTTCACTCAAATCATTCCCGTCGCACACCGTTTCTTGACGTCTCACTTTTGCAACATTSAAGTGCAATCCCATTCTGTGCGGTGGCAGCGGCAGCGGTAGCACATCTTCAGATTTTATGTCACTGCCGTCAGCAAAATGACACGCCCCACACATTTGACTTACTTACGCGCACACATATGTAGCTAGATGTCAAGTGCGTATGTCAACTCTTCGTGRATGTGGCGCAAACACGCCAACAACAACCACYAACACAAGCACAGTCGAGAAACAACTTTTGTTTAGTGWGCCATATGTATTCATATGCAAGTGTTGTTGGTAGAGTGTAGCGGCAGTTACAATGTTATTTGTCGGCTGTCAGTCGTGTGTCGTTGCGGTCGTCACGTTGTTGTCAGCATGTGTGGCAAGTGTGGCAAAGTGCAACTATTATTTTTGCCACGCATGTGTATTGCTCGTGTTGCACATGTTTTTTCAGCGTCAACAACAGCAGCAACAACAACCGCAACTCAACAAGTTGATGGTTTCTTCTTTCTCTTGTGCGCTTTTTCTTCTTTTTTCTTTTCATTTTCAAGCATGAGGAGAATTTATATTTTTACTCAAGTTCACTCTTGGCATCATTACACGAGCAAATTGCCACATATTTTAACACGTTTTGTGCAGTCATTAAAATATTTATATACATCTTCATAGCTTTGCTKCTGAGTTCGCACATCCGCCCTATTGGGGTGCGCAGTCAAGAGAAGAAAGTGATTTGTAGCAAAGAYTCGTACTTTCTCGCCAGTTTTTAGGTCAAAATATGCTTAAGAGACTATGAGTGTCTAAAAATAAAAGTTGTTAGTAGTTTGTCGTTGTCTCTCAAGCAGAGAAGAAGAGTTTTTTGTTGACGCTAGTTATTACGCAAGAGGCCATAATAAAGAAAGGTTAGGTTCGATGGCTGGTCTASAGAGATCGCACGGCTAATCGGACTGCAAAACGCTTAGTAGCCAGTACAAATTTGCACAAGTGTTTGATTTCCATTACCGCTCGGTGGGATGTCTGAAGGTATGCGTTTCTATACGCTTAAGGGGTTAGGGGTAGTCAAAATTAAAAAAAAATTTTTTTTTGCATTTTCGTTAAGTTTAATATAAATATATTAAAATAAATATATAAATTAAAATAAATATTCTCTGAACATTTCACATTGATCCGATAATATATTTTTGAGTTATTCGACAAATAACAAAGAGAGCTCGGGCACTTCAAAGCGCTACTGTGAACTTTAAGCGCGTTTTTCTCAAAACTATGTTTTTTGAAYTGTTAACAACTGTAACTCGAAACCCGCATTTTCATGAAATGTATACAGCTTTTAGAATACATAATAAACTCAGGCCTGTTCGAAGGATTTTTTTTTCAAAAATTTCGATTTTTTAAGACCAATTGCTTTTTTGCAAAAATTTTGTTAATTTTGAAAAGTCCTTCGACCAGGCCCAGGATTATCTATTTGTAAAACTATTTTTTTTTTTTTTTGAAATTTTCGTGACTTCAAGTCAACACATTCTATAATAATGAGATATTACTACTTTTGTAAAATATCATGATTTAATAGCAAAAAAAAAACCCTGAAAATTGTAATTTTTTCGTCTCTYTGACTATCCCTAACCCCTTAAATCTTGGCCCCCAACGCGAAGCAGTCGAGAAGGAAGTGTTGAGTTGTTTCCACCCCAACTGTTTTTATTCAACTTCTGCAGATGACGTCTGGTAAGACCCTCAGCCTTACAGCATGGATCCCAATTGAGGAATGGCCTGTTAAAAGCCTCACAACTAGGGAGAATCTAGTCTTACTAAGGGAAAAGTGATAAATGGATCTCTTGTGACCTTACTCAAGGCCAAGAATATGACTGACTGCTGCTAACCTACTCTGCGAGATATATTATTGCAATTTAGAGAGAGTCTTTTTCCGAATGTGTTTTTTATGAATGTGTGTCAAAATGGGTTGAATCGGATCAATAATTCCTTTAGCACCATTATAACTAATGGATGATTTTTGAACTTACGGTGACTTTATATCGCAYMTATCGGCAAATATGTGAGTTATCTTAATAAAAATGAAGGAGATCTCATATAATTAACAAACCTTATACTCCCGAWGGTACTTTCCTCAGTTCTAATCAGGATAGTTGCAAGAATATGAAATATAACCGAACCCGCACTTTGCCTTAATTTAATTAATAATTCGTCTTTAAAAGTTTTGGTTTAAAGAGTTTTTCATAGATTTAATTCCTATAACATTTTGACTTTCAAAAATGGAAAAACAAACAGGACTGATTTCTTAAATATATGATGTGAAGCCTTAACTAAATTACAAATCTATTTTAAGTTTATTAAATTTAATCTTTATTTTTTTTTTTTTTTTGTGTTTTTCAGAACGCGCCGCATTCATTCGCTACAATCTGGCTAAGGCAGTGAGTCGTTTTAACTCCGCAGCCAACAATGCTACAGACCGCAGTGCTGAATCACGTCTATTTCTGCAACCAAGTGCTTTGCTGAGTCCAACACAATTGCTGGAATTCGAGGTAAATAGAACAAGTTTCTTGCCGGACATAAAATAATACAAATAATGCCTGTATGTTATTGACTAAATTTTTTTATTTGAAATTTCAAAACACACACATAAAATTCATTTTCCAGCTTCACCACTTGCATATACATACCTTTGACCGTCCTACTTATATAAGTCATTCTGTTCCGCTACATGTATCCCAAGTGTTCAAATTTTTACAAGAATTATGGTTGCATTGGTGTCCCCTGGCGTATRCGTAATTTATTGTGAAAATTTAATGCACCAAGGCACTCGCAAATAAGCTTCGACAGTCGCTTTTGTACAAGAAGCAGACCTGAAAGGCAGTAAAAAGATATTAAAATTTGCATGAAGTAACAAAATGGCTGACTTTAATAGCACACAAATGCTAACGGCTTTTATTGTAGACAGATTCAGAGATTATTGAATGACTTGAATAGTTTGAAAAGCAGCAAAGTTTTTGTAAATGATTCAATAGCGAACCGTCGGAAAATTTTACTAAAAAGTACTAGCTACAAGTGTATTCAGTTGAAGTTAATAAATCACTGACACATTTTAAGCTGKCTGCGAAAATAGTGCCGAAAGTTTTCTAAGTCTACGAAGTTTTTCGCTCAGAAAGACATAATTTGACAGCAGAACGTTTTGGCTTTAGTCACCATTAGGAAGTGAAGGGTAGAGTAAATTTGCAGTCAAAAATATTTACGAAAATAATTGGCAAACTAGTAAATGTATATTTCTTGCTTTCCGATTATATGTTAGCCTTTCATAGTTTTTTGAATATGTTGAATATTTTTATATATTGAATAGCATATGGTAGTCGAAAAAGTMTTTTCGTATATTTATAATGAATTTTAATCAACCAAATATTTACCGTTTTGTTCGACCACTCTTTGCCATTTTTTTCGGTAGAGAGATTATTTCATCACTGTAAAACTTTTCTGGTTCTCATAAAACTTTTTCACGCTTCTCTTGAAACCAACTTTACTCCATTAGGGGACTTATGCATTGACCGAAACAAATGGTAGTCCGATGGTGCAAGGTCGTGGCTATATGGCAAACGCGTCTAAACTTCCCAGCTAAGTTCTCCCAGTTTTAGCCGAGTCATCATAGATGTGTGTGGTTGCGCGTTGTTCTGATGGAAGACGAAGCCCTTTCTGTTGATCAGTTCTGRCCGTTTTCTTCAATTGCTTGCTCCAATCTCATCAGTTGTTGACAGTGAAAYGTAGAATCAAGGCTGGAGCAGCTGGTGCGATTTCAGTACGTTTCAGCAAAGWATCGCCGRTGTTAATTCGGTCAATTAAATTTTTTCACAGACAATTTATGTGATACCCAAACATCGAGCTTCTTTTTGTGGTCAGCCTTTTTTAAATGATTTAAAGCCATTTGATGATGAATATTAAGTTCCTTAACTATATCATGGCTGCTTATGTGACGGTCCTGCAACGACTTCTATTAAGAAAATACGAAAAGTTTTTTTAGACTACCCAATATTAAGTTTGTTATAAAGTGTGTTAGACCCAGAAGAAAACGCTGGAGACACTATAAAGTACATAGACATATAAGTGATCAGCATGACAAGCTAGTCATGTCCATTTCCTCCCATCTGTCAATCTCTATATACTTGTACAGGTCCCTTAATTTTCTAGATATCGATCTGAAATTTAGCAAATGACTTTATCTCTGTAAGAAGCTGCCCATTTTTCAGAGTCTCCGATATCCAACAATTGTAGCCTATAGCTGTCATCCAAAGCAATCGAAAAAAATCGATTCTTCGTATGGAAAACATTTTCATTTGATGAGATATCTTCACGAAATTTGGCGTAGGTTATTTTCCAAGGCAACGCTACATTCAGCGAGCATATTATCCAGAGCGTATCAGTATAACTGGCATACAAAACAAACCGATCAACATCAAGATCAAGTYCTTTTACGCCCTTTTAGGGCATAARAAGTTTACTAAAATTTGGTACACGCAAAGTTATTTGTGCTTTTCATTGCATTCAACACCTCATACATCCAAACTGTTTCAATAGCGGACTCTTAAACCCAAAACTTGCAAACAATTTAAAATTTAAGTAAAAGTGAACGGAGAAATGCCCCAAAAAATGCAAAATATTCCTCCATGAAATTTGTATTCCTTATAAAAAATGTATRTTGGTTTTCAACACTACCGCTGACCATAAAACGGAGGCAATTTGCTTGTCAATTTAGAAAATTGACCATTATGCGCCTAAATGTTATGCGCAAAAAACGAAATTTATGYAACACCTTTTCAACTTCTTCACACACATGCTTCTCTGGATATGTGAGTGAGAGTGAGATACGTGAAAAAGCAATTTACTTCCTTTAGCTAGAAWATATATATGTGTGTTGACACTTTCTACGAAAGTTTTCTAAAATAAAATGCTTTCTTCAAAACTAATCTTTGACCAGTTCTCGAATAGCACACTAACACACACTTGCACTTATTTCTATGTAGTATAAGTGTAGTTGTTGCCTTAACATATGTACCTTTGTTACTAGAAAGTGTTGTGTCAAATATTGTCGTGGGCGTATGCGCCTTGGATTACACACAGAATATCAAATCAACCAGGCAGTCAAACAAACACACGCATAGACATACGTGCATGTAGTGAGTACGCCCCAGAAACGTCGCCGCGAGCAAGATGCTTAACGTAAGGATACAATTTCACTAAGCGGCTGGCATGCGGCTCTGTCGCCAGAAGACACGTGCAGATTAGCAAAGGCGCCTGACGCAAAACACACTCACACACACACAAGCCYAAAGCATTGACGCACAAAATTTACATGATGTAGCTACAAGTTATACAAGTTGAATGACAACATCGCCGGAAGAGAGGCCGCCCCAGGGGGGCAGACAGGAATCGGTGGCAAACTAAATCAGGYAAAGAGTGGGAAGTGAGGACAGAATTSGCAAAAAGGTTATCTTCACTGCCTTCGGCCATCACAAAGTTATTGGGCAGCGAGCGCTTGGATGGAGTCATAAAAGGCTAGACACATAAAATATTGTACGGAAAGCGTGGTCAAGCGCAGCACGAAAGCAAAAGAAAAAGGGCAACCAAAATGTCATAAAAAATGTGCGTGAATTTTCCAAAGCAACACGTTGACCTGAAAGTGAATATTTTTGACATTTAGCGGGTGAAACTCCCGTAGGCCTCATATACGYTAACACGCTTAAACGGTGAAAGAGAATGCTCCTAACGAAAGTGTTAGATTTCGCAGTGGCCTGTATTGTAAAGTRGAGTTTTGCAGCTCTTGATTGCAGAGTTTCTTTTGGCGTGAAGTAAAGGAAGCAGTGTAATTCGTGGGTCTTTCAGGGTAGAGCACGGTTGAACATTTAAAGTCACTGTAATCTCGTTGGTGTGAAATATAATGAACGACAATCCACAATGAATTTTAATCAAGGCCAAACCTTAAGCTCTCGAAAAATKTGTTGTAGCCAACCAGGAAAATAGCTGAAATAATAAATGCCGTTATTATCACAGCAGAAAGGAATGGGATGTAGTTAGCGCTGCTGCAAAGCTGCAAATAAATAATTCACTTAGATACCAATCAGTGTGCTTTGTAATTGTAGCAAATATTCGCAAAATAATTGCTCTTCTGAAGAAAGTTGCAACAAATAATTTGAATAAAAATTCACACAATAAAAGATTCRAAAAGAAAAGCAAAACTTATTTGATAAAGAGCAGATAAAGAAAGACATAAATTTAATTTAGAATGSCTGTGGGCTAAAAGTAGAGCGTGCAGTGCTTTATTAAACGGCACCTTGTGACTTCGTTCAATAGACTTAATTAAGAAATATGGGCGAAACTTTGCATACGAATTTAGCAGAGAAACAAAATTTATTTGTTTATTTTTTTTTTTAACGAAAGGTTTTGCTCTCAGGGAAATATTGTAATAAAACAAACAGAAGGGACTCAGGTATTAAATTAAAGTTTCTTAGAAGACTTACTACTTATTTACCAGGGATGTTCTTTAATTTATTTTAAGTAATCAAAACTGTGTGGAAGTTCTTTAAAGTTCATTAAAGTGGAAGAGACGCATTTAATACAAATTTTTTTCTTGTAAGTTAATTGAGATGGATCATCCTGAAAAATTTGCTTCATAATGTCTTTGATATCTAAATTTATGAATATATAAGTACTTACCTATTTTTCAGCTTCAAGGGGAAGTAGACATCGTATATAACCATGATCGGAATATTTCGTTTTCGTAAATTTGTCTGATGAGATGATTATCTTTTATATTTTGGGATTAGAGAACAAAAACAAATATTTATAATCGAAACTCACTTTATTGTTTTCTCAAAATATGCTTCATTTAGATCTATATAGTTTTGTATGAGGTTGATTTTCGCACTTGTGATACTCTGATTGAATTGTCTACAAAACATGCTTTCTAGGTGCACCTACCCCCTCCTCAGTATCAAATAATGCTGGCTCTTGGTTTATTTTCTAAGTTTGGCATTAAAAGGAAGTCTTTCAGTGCCACGTCAAAACTACATGGTGATGAATCGAACTGATTTTTCAGTACTCCAAAATGCAAGATTTGAGTCGATGTGTGAGAGATCTCATTGCCTTGGTTAAGAGTGTTCCGTTTTCGGCAGAAATTGCTTTTTGCGCGAACAACTTTTGTTGTACTCAGCTCATTTCCAAACACCAATACAGTTGACAGTTCACGCGTTATATCACGATTCATCACCCATCACAATGTCATAGACGTGTTTCCATGAGCGATTGACAAATTTGTTGCTTCCAACGTTAGCAAAGTTCATTCACAAGTCACATGACGATCCTGCAATATCAATTGCGCTAGATGAACACATGTGAATGAAGTTGATTTGTTGCAGAGTTAGTTCAAGTCGAAATGTTGTAAAAAATAATTGCGAAAATGTTAAGGGATTAATTATATTTTTAATCAGAGATGAATATTTTAAGATACTGTTCACAACAAATGGTCCCCGTATATCGAAAT